CTGCGCAGTACGTTTCCCCGGCTATCGATACGAAGGAAGGAGTTATGCGTTGTTGCTTCGTGGAAAAATGACTTCTTTTCATTTGGGAAAAACGTGTCCGGCACCCAAATACTCTTCACCAGATCGATTCCAATAGTCAATTTCGTCTCGTCGTCACTCTCGAATGCTAATCGACTATCATGCCAAAACTGACGTAAATACAAATCCACTGTATAATCCTGGAACTTATTTGCTTTCCTACAAATGTACCTGCAGGCGTACTTTTGAAAAAAAAGCGGCCCTTTGCTTGATCCTGGAAGCCATACCTACTTAGAAACCATTCCGTTGCCTAAGGAATAGGTAATGTTCCTAAGATATTATTCAGTTTTTTGTCCCTCGACTAAACCATCTGGGGCACTTGAAAATGTCAGGAGAAAACTGGCGCAGGGAATTCTTGGAAAATAATCTACCATGGAGACTTCCGAAATTGCACTTATCGTTGTAACATGGATGGTGACGTTCACTTCGATAGGCGCTCCTGAAAAATATGGGTTTTACGCAAAATATTCAAACTTTATTAACAATTATTGAAGGCAAAAAGAATTCAGTAAAGCTCCGAAAATGTGTAGTGACCGTAGACACTTTTCATGACTAACACGACTAACCTCACGAATTCCTCCCCTTCTGAATAATATCCGTTACGGAGTTTTTCACAAAATTTTTCGAAAGTGATTTGTTCTAATGAGGGCTGTCGTGGAGCAATTCATTATTTCGAATATGTGAGTAATGAGGCTGCGGGCAACGCATGTCCGAAAATTTTGCAGCGGTTCTGATCAGAATTTCCACTGCGGAATTTGGTGCATCGGCAGGTCAGCTAACCATCTCCAGCTTCGCATCCCATGGCTTCTTTATTGCTTTTTATAATCGTTAGCTGAGAAAAAAAGCACTTCTAAACTCAGTCTCATAAAAAAGTTTCTCGAGTGATCCATTTAGATTACAGAGTGACTACTGTGCCTTCTTCAGGTTGATTTGACAACCTTGTCGGCTTCGCCGGCCGTACAGAGTCGTAGTCAGATGCACAAATGGGGATCTAGACCATGTTATTACCTGCTCCAGGTCTTTTTCGGGAAGTAAATCTAGCTATAATATCAGTTTAAAGCAATAAAAATTTGTTCGGTTTTCTTAAAACGCTTTATGAATTTTTTTTGAAGAAACAGTAGCGTTCCATGAAATGAATGCTAACCACCATAGTTCGGCCTTATCCGGCGATCGTGACTAGCGATTAGATGATCAAGCAAATAGCTAACATTCATCTCGAGATGATGTTGCCGC